ACGTCATGGAGAAATGAGGACACTGATTTGTTACCTAACTGTTCCTCCTACCAAGAACGTTTCATAAATGTAAAAGATAGTATAAATAAGCAAATGAAACTATATGCTGTTTGCAGTGAAGACTTAGACAAAATCCATGAACACTTGATTCATCTTGATGAAGACAATGATCATTTTGACTCAATAGCACCATTTACACAAAACAGAGAATACCAGGATGAGGCTGAGGGTCTTCAAGATTTGCATCCTGATCTCAATGAAAACTATGATTTATCAGAAGATGTTGGAATTCCTTCAGCAATAGAAACTAGTGAACCACTGATACTAAATGAATTACAAGACCAAGAGTACAGACAATTGGTGCAAACACTAAATCAAAAACAAAAGTAATTTTTTTATCATATCTTGCATATTGTTAAAACATCAGACAAACCATTCTACTATTTCCTCTCTGGAGGAGCTGGAGTGGGCAAGTCCCATCTCGTCAAATGTCTATATCAAGCAGCACTAAAATATTACAACTCCAGAGCTGGTGAAGACTTCAATGATGTTAAAATACTGTTATTAGCACCAACTGGAAAAGCTGCTTTTGGCATACAAGGTAATACAATACACAGTACCTTGGCAATTCCAGCAAGCCAGTCACTAAAGATTTATAAACCTCTTGACTCAAGTAGACTTAACACTCTGAGATGTAAACTTCGTGCAGTGAAACTAATATTTTTGGATGAAATTTCAATGGTTGGCAATACTATGTTTAATGTACAAATAAATAACAGATTAAAAGATATTATGGGCAGCAACGAACCATTTGGAGGTGTAAGCATGATAGCACTTGGTGATTTATTTCAGTTAGAACCTGTTATGGATGGTTATGTGTTTAAAGATATGAACAACTCAGAATATCGAGCTCTTGCTCCCAACTTGTGGCAAGAACTATCTACAATGTTTGAATTAGAAGAAATTATGAGAAAAAGAGAAAGCAAAGAATTTTCTCAACTTCTTAACAGGTTAAGAGAAGGTAATCACACTCCAGAAGACATTGCAAAACTTAAAGAGAGATGCATTTCAGAAAATTGTACAAATTACCTTATCGATGTCCCCCATTTGTTCATACAGAATTCTAAAGTTGATGAGTTTAATAGGAGAGTTCACATGGCTGCAACTGGTGAAAAGTATACAATTAAAGCCTTAGATAGTGTTGTGGGTGCTAACTCTGCAGAACTAAGGGATAAGATCTTAAAGCAAGTACCACTTGATCCTAGAAAAACTAAGGAATTACCTTTAAACCTTTAACTTGCTGAAGGTGAAAGAACAGAAATCGCAGTGAATCTAAGGACTGATGATGGCATGACAAATGGTGCTGCTAATATTGTAAGGAAGATACAATTACATGACAAAAACAGACCTTCTGGAATAATATGGGTAGAATTTGACCAAGCACATGTAGGAGGAAAAAAGAGACATGATTACAGGCACTTATTTGTACAAGGTTTTGAACGCAAATGGACTCCTATCAAACCTATCACTGCACAATTTGCAGTTGGAAGAAACAGAACAGCTCAGGTTGTGAGAAAGCAATTTCCATTGAGACCTGCAGCTGCTAAAACCATTCACAGATCACAAGGTGACACTGAGACAAGAATAGTAGTTAACTTCAACGCCAGGAGAGCAATACCTCACATTCATTATGTAGGATTAAGTAGAGTAACAACTATAGAAGGGCTTTACATAACTGACCTTTGTGAGAACAAAATATGCAACGCTTACGGACAGAAAAGCATCTCCACTTTTCTTTAACTCCTATTTATGAAATACATGAACCTACTGTTAAATTATGCTTCCTTAATTCAAGATCATTGCATAAACATATAGAAGCCATACGCAAAGATTTGAACTATTCACATACTGATGTCAGTATATTCTCAGAAACAAGGTTATATACTTTAGTCAGCAATACTGCATACACAATTAGTGGCTACAGTTTATTTAGAAATGACAGTCAATGCACAACATGTAATACCAGACCTTATGGTGGAACAGCTGTGTATAGTAAAATAAGTTTTATTCCTGGGTATCCAGTTTGCATGAACACAAATGGCGTAAAAATAACTATTGTAAAACTTGAAAAAATACCACAAATTACCATAATAGGTGTGTATCGGTCACCCAGAGTGCCTGTGCGACAGATGTGTTTAGCATTAACAGAACTTCTGACTATGAACTGTTCCCAATTTAAACTATTTATGGGTGATTTTAATGTGAACTGGTTAAATGAAAAAGAGAAACTTCCTCTTTATAATTTGTTCATTAGAGAAAACAGCTACAGGCAATTAATATCATGTTATACAACTGACAACAGAACCACCATAGACCACATTTATACTAATTTACCTGAATCACAGGTGAATTTGCACACATTGAAACATATTTTTCAGATCATAAAGCAATCTGTGCATTAATTCGAACATAATTGCTGCTGTAGACAGCCGTCAATATTCTTGAAGCCATCAATAAATTAACCGTAAAAGTGTCAAAGAAACTAGAAGTATCGAAAATAAAACTCTTTTGTGTGGTGTATCTGAGCTTAAAAGAGGATTCTGTTGCTTAAATGTTTCAAAAGGAAGCTTTAATACCACATCTGTAAATGAGCTCCAAGCGTCGTAACTTGGCCGGGTAGGATTAGTTATTTGCTTTGTATTTTAAAAACAAATAAAAGCATGAGTTGACATCTGTAAATGAGCTGCAATCGTCATAACTCCAGTAGGATTAGATATTCGCCTTGTATTTTATAAACAAATAATAGCACGTGTTGTACGTAGTATTAAAACATGCAACTAACAGCAGCACTCATTTCTCATTGAGAACTGCTACATGTAGTTTAAATTTTCTTGTGTTGTTTGAGGTTGCTGTCTAATTTTGGATAGTAACCCTGAACGCTCTCTTTTCCCTGCCATTTGATTAAAACTTACAAAGGCAAGTATTACTTTGCTTTAAACATTACATTACAACTTTACATGTACAACGCAAAAATACAATTTCTTTAATTAAAATATATTAAAATTTATTATCTTGCTACAAAGTATTCATTTTAAATCTCTTTCTCTCAACAGCTTTAACATGGACAAACCTCATGAACTAACAGGATATCTCATGCTGTATCGCCAGTGAAGAAAAGCTCAAAATCAAGCTACTTTGAAATGTTACTTCAAACTGGCTCTGATAGTACCGTTAGAGCAATATGCTTTGCCACAAAAAAACACGATGACCTGAAAGCCAGAAGTTCAAAAAAGAGCCCTGTGAAGCTCAGCAACTTCCAAATGGATCTTAAATCAAATACAGTACTTATGGACAACAAAGTCCGAATTGACGCAACCAAGGTATCATTCGCACCAAAAGAAATACCACAAACAAATAACATAGCGTCACTCTCTGGTGTCCACTTCCAACAGCTGATAACAATTAAAGCGAAAGTTACAAAGATCAGTGGTACAAAAAAAGTAACTACAGCGAATGGAGAAAAATGTAAAGCTGAATGCTTCCTCAGCGATCCATCCGGAACAATAACATTAACTCTCTGGGAAGACAAAATAAATGAAGTCAGTGAAGGAAAAACTTATACATTCCATAACGTTAGAGTTATAAAAGAATACAAGTCTGACAAACTGGCCTTGAGCACAACAATGCATGACTGTACAGTGTCGGAAGCAGAGGACTTCATTGAATCCTTACCCCAGTCTGTTGAACTGCCTGATTCTTTTACAACCACAGAGGCCAAGGTTGAAGTCATTGGTCTGCTAACATTCGGAAAGTACCTTTCATGTTTACAGTGCCACAAAAAGGTAGCAGATGGATCTTTTACTGCCAAGATTATAAAATGTGGTAACTGTAATCTGACGCAAAAAAGAGATAAATGTATTACCAACTGTTTTGCACAAGTTAAAGTTTCACAAGATGACAACCAGTTCACTGTAACATTCTTCCAAGAACAAATTAAAAAAGTTTTTAATATCTTACAACGTCCACAAACACTGGATGAAGAAAAGATAACAGAAGCACTCTTAGATGCTCCAATCTTAAAAATAAAATATGACAATAAATCAAAGATCATAAACGAGGTATCTCCCTATATCATTTGAATAGCTGTTCATGTACTTCCCTCATCATTGGCAAAGGTTGAAAACAAAAACGTGGGAAGTGCAAACCTGTACAAACAAAATTACAAAGTTCTTTTTTTAATGCCAGATTTACGCTCACATACAGCCTGTAAGAGAGCATACACAGGCAGAAATGCTGTTATAGTTTATTCATATTAAAATCATTTTGTAAATGATTTCGATCAAAAAGTAACAATATACAACATTGAATGAGTGGTTCAGTTGCTATTAATTAGATTACACTTTATTGCAATTTTTTGGCAATTTCGTGGCAATTTCGTTAACTTTGAGTAGTTCCGTTACAGTTATTGCCCCTTAAACAGTTCTTGAAGTACCATTAAGTTTCGTTACAGTTCATTACAACATAAATATACCATGTGGAATTACTAATGTTTAACAAAATAAGTTGTGTTAATAAAAGCAATTGAATTACCACATTGTCTTTGCCACTGCGCTACGATTTTTTCCGGTACACTTATTTCCATACCTTTATATGTTACATGCAGTTCATTTTGAAAAAATATTAATGCTAATGGACATACAACATAGTGAACACAAGGCAAAAAAAAAAAAAAAAAAAAACACCCTAGTATAAAAGAAACAGAAGTACTACACTTAATTGCATAAAATAAAACTATCCGCTCCCAGGAAACACCTTGCACTACCAAATGTTAGCATAGCGGACCTTTTTTTAAAAAAATCACTGGAGTAACATATGCCACTGTTCTTTGTGAAAACGCCATCCTATTGCAGCAGACACAAGTACCCGTTGGGTACCTATTTTTTCGTTCGTTATTTCGAATGATTTGATATCACAGAAGTAGAATTTGACATCATAAACGT